CGTGGGGCCTCAGAACTTCTTGGACTTCAACTCCCAGAAACCCCAGCTGGAACATCCAATAGTCAAGAGACTTCTGTGAGTTATAGTCCAAGAGCATCCAGGACTCTAAAGTTTGGGGACCTCTGCTTTATCATGTACCATCTAAGTTTTAGGAATTTGTAAATTAATCTACACTGATTTCTTTTCCGGGTGTCTCTGAAAAACCTGAAGTTAAGGTGTTTTTGAAATTAAGATGCTGTAACACACACATATACACAGAGTGTGGGAGTGGATAGAACAAAAGCTTAAACAAATAAATGGATTATACTGTATATGGAGGTAGGGAAGATTGGGCCTTTGCAAAGCGCTGAAGATTTCCCAGGTAGAAGACATACACCAGCCCTGCCTGACAAGAGGTTTTCCTTCTTGCATGAATGCAGTATCTTCACACTATCTCTTCATTTCTCAAGCACCAAACCCAAAAGAGACATTCTACCAGGGCAGAAGGATTAACCAATGGCTGTAAAGTCCAATCCACAGGCCTGTGACATGCTTGAGAAGCCAGACACGGCTGTTCATTATCAGTGCAGCGTTCCTCAACCAGAAACACAGTTAAGAGAAAAAGATTGGGAGGTTGAAGACATTTCATAAAGTTAGATAGATTCTAGGCTATTGTAGAACAGTTCAGTTTAACATATAAGACATCTGAATGCTACACATACAACTTAAGTTCAGCCTTTTCCCTGTACCACGTTCAATGGACAACATTCACAGCAACCCATGAGCCAGAGGGTGGCAGCAAAAGCCCTAAATTTAATTATGTGTCATTCATATATTTATCGTTAGATACCGAAGAATATACAAATCCTTGAAAAATCTTTGTACAATGATACTAAATTGTCACTTTCACTGTTTCTCAATATTTAGTATTTTCTCTATCACTTCTTCAAAAATATCTTTGCTGTATACAGTACATCTCATCCAGCTGAAATGAAGCACATATTTTCCACGAAAATAATAGTCTTTCCTTGGGAAGGCTGGGCCCGTATCTATCTATCTGACCTATCTGTGTGTCTGTCTAAATAAAAAGCAGGATTTGTTAGATTCCTGAGAATCTGAGACAGTCCCACATATGGCAGAAATACACCTACTATGGTACAGTTTCAGAGACCAGATCATAATTACGAACTCCTCACTTAGCGTATGTTCACATTTTTTCTTTTTAAAGGGAAGGAAATGTTAAACTGGTTGTTAGAACACACAGTGTTTCTTATTATGTTGAGTCCACCATGAACATAGTATCATTGAATAGGAAAATGCCTATTGCTTGCAGTTTTAACCTGAAACAAGATCCTTGGCTCCCATCCTAATAAAACAATCTTGGTAATTTCTGGTTAATTTTTTTCAACATTTACTAGAACTGCACCACCATGCCAGCTCACTATTAACACTGTCCTAGCAGGCAATTCATCATACTGTAATCATGTTTGTCATGTGCTGTTGAGTAGCTTCTGATTTATGGTGAACCAAATATAATTTCCAAGGTATGCAAGACGGTCAAGAAGTTATTTTACTAGAGACGCCCGCCCCTGCCCCTGTGAGTTTCCACAGCCAAGCAGGGATTTGAACTTAGATCTCCGGAGTCATCATCCATCACTTTGTGCACCCTGGCTCTCAATAATTATGTGCTGTCAAGTCAAGTCTAAAGTATGACGACACTTGCCAGGGCTTCCTAAGTATAAGGTACCCTGTAGTGGCTTATCAGTTGCTTTTTCCGGTGATATTGTACAACTTTATAGCTTGCCCAAGGCTACAGAGGCTGATTTTTCTCCAAGAAGGCACAATGGAAAATCAAGCTCCTAACTCTTGGCTCTACAGCCAGATACTCCTACATTCTGAGCTATGTACCACATTTACTACAGATGCCCGCCCCTGCTCCTGTGAGTTTCCACAGCCAAGCAGGGATTTGAACTTAGATCTCCGGAGTCATCATCCATCACTTTGTGCACCCTGGCTCTCAATAATTATGTGCTGTCAAGTTAAGTCTAAAGTATGACGACACTTGCCAGTGCTTTCTAAGTATAAGGTACCCTGTAGTGGCTTACCAGTTGCTTTTTCCGGTGATATTGTACGACTTTATAGCTTGCCCAAAGCTACAGAGGCTGATTTTTCTCCAAGAAGGCACAATGGAAAATCAAGCTCCTAACTCTTGGCTCTACCGCCAGATACTCCTACATTCTGAGCTATGTACCACACAGACATTTGATATGACCAAATATATTACTGTCTAGCAAAGAGGACAGAATATGTGCCTGTCTTTGCTATAGCTCCAAAACTGTGAAACCGAGACAGGGTAAAATGGCTGATTTTTCATTAATTTGCACTATCGATAGTCCAATAACATTCCAATTCAGCAGATAGCAGACTTCTTAACCACCCCAGAGAATGCTACATCCATGCCTGGCATATTCATTGATGTAGCTCCACAAGGATCAGAAGGACAGCATGGGAAACAACATGCTATATGCTACTGCTGTTTCCCTTTGCAGGGCCCCTAAATTCCTCGACCAGTTAAGAGAGAGGGAGCAGGGAGGGTGGGGGAGAAAAGGTCCTATTGCCTGGTAAGGTAAGGTGAGGAAAAAAGAAGTTAAGCAGAGGAAAACCAACAGCCTCTCACCCAACAACTCCTCTTTGAAAGAAGAATGTCCAATACATACAGCAAATGTATAAAATGAGAAAAATTAAAATAAATTAAGCTCAGAAAAAAATCATTTTTCATTGGAAAAGTTTAAGGCTGCCTCATTTTCAGAATGTTTGCTCCCTGAGTAGTCCAGTAGTAGGTCTGGCAATAGACTGATCACATCGGGTTTTCCTTTAAGATTTTTTTAAAGTAGTCATTAATTTTATTTTTTCTAGTTATCTGGTGTGATTGCTGTAGCCAACTTTTGTTTCCTTTCTACCTCCCATCAAAAGTTTTGGATTTATATCTCCCTTTAATTTGGAGGTAGAAAGACTAACTCCCTTTGTTTTAAGAGATGGGTCATAAATTCCAAACTGCAAACTGAGGAGAAAGAAGCTTGAAACCAACTTGCATACTGCAGCTAAGAAGCTAAGCTGGCCTCAACATCAGCCATGTGAATTTGGGACATCAATAACAGCATATAATTTTGGAAATCTGCACAAGCACTTGATGCACAGCCTTGAAGATGACGATTGATCATCAAAAACTCGCTGTTTGTTGTTGTTGTTTTGTTTTCTATTCATAATGGTTGAATAAAAGTATCATCTTTTCCTGCATGTGTATTGTTTTAACAACTGTACGGCCTTTTCCTGATTTTTCCTCAATGTATAAAATGCCATAGAATGGCCAATCCGGGCACCAAATTAAAATCAGCATGTGTTCTTGAACATCATGGACTCTTGACACCAAACAAGCAGTACTGGATGCTAATGACAACATCCACCAGGTAAAACTACTTATTTGGCTTAAATTTGGCTAAATTTGACTGTTCCTGGTGGTTTAACTAAATTCTTAATCCCAACTCTGCCAGAGGCAAGCCATAAAGGAAAAAGCAAAAAAAGCAAAGTGTGCTGCTTATATACTTCAAACACTCTCTGGGTGGTTTACAATTATGCAGGCTACACACTGCCCCCCACCCGCAGCAAGCTGGTTACTCGTTTTACTGACCACAGAAGGATAGAGGGCTGAGTCAACCTTGAGCCGGCTACCTGGGATTGAACCCCGAGTCGTGAGCACAGTTTTGGTTGCAATACAGCAGTTTAATCACTGAACCACGAGGCTCTGCATCTGGGCTCCCTCTCCTCCCCCCCCACTAAAAAGAAATTCTTCAAGTTTCAAAAAGGCAGAAAGGGGGAACATGGGGGCCTCCCAAATTGCCTTGCTGTCCTTTGTTTTAAGAGATGGGTCATAAATTCCAAACTGCAAGCTGAGGAGAAGCTTGGAACTAACTTGCATACTGCAGCTAAGCAGTTAACCTGGCCTCAATATTAGCCATGTGAATTTGGGACATCAATAACAGCATATAATTTTGGAAATACCACAATAATTTGATAAGCAGACTTGAAGAAGATTTATCATCGAAAGCTCACTTTTGTTTTATGGTGTTTTTTTTGTTTCCAATTCTTTACAGTCTAATACAGGTATCACCTGTTCCTGCCTGTGTATTATTTCAACAAGTATATGGCCTTTTCCTTATTTTTCCCTCAGCTGTAAAAACAGGCTGCTGCACTTTGGGACAGTAGGGAGGTCTTTGTGCACTAAACAGAAAGAAACTTTCCTTGACCCTTGGCTGTAACCTGATTGACTTAAAGAAGAACACAGATGAACGTTCACACTATTTTCCAAAGTGGATCTGAGGGAGGGGGTCCAGGAGATTCTATATAGGTGCCTCCAAATAGTCTCTACTAATGCCATATCAAAACATGGTGCATCTCATCTCATCTATCTATCTATCTATCTATCTATCTATCTATCTATCTATCTATCTATCTATCTATCTATCTATCTATCTATCTATCTATCTATCTATCTATCTATCTATCTATCTATCTATCTATCATCTATCTATTTTTATTTAGATTTATACCACACCCATCTAGATCAATGGTCTACTACTATGTTTGTCATGCCCTGCATAGCCAAGTCTTCCCTGGAGGATGGTAGTTGCAGAAATTGTCCTGAGGCACTTGGAGGAAAGCAGAACTAAGTATTTTTTTTAAAATAGCAATTGCTTCCAACACAATGTGAAGAGGGTGCACTTTCTTGATCGGTGCAGGGAGAAATGAAGCCCCCAGCTCCCTTGAGAACTTATTTAAAGGGTTACACAAACAAGTTACAAGCCATTAGATCTGAATGGATTCCTCATCTACAGATCAAGGGCTGCCACAGCAGAATAGGATCTGATACAGCATTTAGGCCATGAGGGAACAGCCTGGCATGTAATTCTGGGTTGTTTTCACCCTTCCATTCTTGTTTTTTTTATGACAAAACTTTGACTTACCTGTTTTATGCACTGCAGCCGATCATTGGTCTGCTGTATGTGCCTGTCCATAGAATTCATTTTGATTGTCTCCACTTGGATTCTACCTGAAAGCCATTAAAATCCCTCAAGCTGCAAGATATAAAAAAAATAAGAGCAACCATTAAGAGAAAGAAACTAAAACATGATCTTGCAAATTCTACAGTGAGTGAGAGCTCGGACATTTTATAGCACATGTCTGTCCTTTGTGGTAAGAGTACAAAGCCCTCAATTTAAAGAGAAGAAAAGTACTTTTTGGGGGGAAGCAAACTACTTTTATTTCTTAAGTCACTGTGACATTCCAAGGTTGCATAATATAGAATGGGCTATAAACTTAGGGGGAATCTCATACTGAATCTACTACTGCCTCCCCATCTCCCAATTCCATGACTGTAATTCACAGGGTATTCTAATGCTAAGACTTGCTGCTCCCACTGGAATCATTTTTGTGTCTCGGAGAAAAGGGTAGAAAATGACATCCTATTTAGTGTTACTGACTGCTGGGGAGCCTAGCACAGATGGTCTGTACCATGCAATGCTTTCTGCCAGGACAGAACTCAAGATGAATTTGGTGGAAAATATCTGGAAAGAAATGTGTCAAGAGGCTAAGTATACATGCAAAACACTAGACTCGATACAGCGCAAATGTATAAAGACACACCAGTAGTATTTGGAACGGGCTTTGCAACCTACCCATTGTCTCTCTCTTTCCTATCTATCTAGCTGGGTATGAAAGAGAGAAACAATGGGTAGATTGCACAGCTAGCTACCTAGCTACCTAAGCCAGTTAATTTGGAGACTGTGAACATGCAACCATCTACATCTCCAGTGTGGTGAATGTAAGTGATTTTAGATGAACTTTGACAAAGGCCCCAAATAAATACTCCCCCAGCTTTTTGTGTGTATAAGATTAACGACTGTATGCATTTTGTATGTTTTCAAACATTTCCAAAAATGAATCCTCACTAATTTTCAAAAAATAAAAAATAAAAAATTCATTGCAACATAACTAATGAAAAATCTTCCTTATAAAGAACGGATCCAGGGCTGTGGACACAATCGCGCCCAAGCGCCCTCTCTGGCGCAGAACTCGTCCGGCGCCCTGGTTCAACCAGGAGCTCCGGGCGATGAAGCGAATAAGGAGAAGGCTAGAGCGTAGATGGAGGAAGAATCCGACGGATAATAATTGGGTAGCTGTCAAGGTCGCAACTAACCTTTACCTGAATAAGGTGAAGGCTGCATGTAGATCATTCTTCACTAACCGGATAAGCGAAGCATCCAATCAGCAGGCGGAGCTATTCCGTATAGTGCGCGACCTATCCGGAGTTGGTCCAGGAGATGGGCCTCCCCCTAGTTTTTCACCGGACCAATTTGCAACATTTTTAAAATCTAAAGTGGAGGCCATCCGCCGGGAGCTCTCTCCTTTTTTGAATGCAGTGAATCGAGCTGAGATGTCCAGCGCTCCGTCTTGCCC